CAGACAATCGGCGGCATGGGCGCAGGTCTTCACTACACAGACGCTGAAAGCCCATGGAAAAACACCCGCACTGAAAAAGCGGATGGGATTCTGAAGCAGAAGATCATGAGCACCATCCATGAGACAGTGGCTTCAATTGAAGAACTTCCACTTGTGATCTCTGAAACTGTCAGCAGCCGCAACCGCTACATGGACAGGCACGGCTTCTCTCCAATGCAGCGAGTCTTTGGAAAGTCGCTTCGCCTTCCTTCTTCACTGATGGCTACGGACTCACTTGATCGTGAAGAAGCAGCGGCGCCAGATGCAATCAGACGCTCGTGGGAGATCAGAGAGGCAGCCACCAAGTCATGGTTGCAACGCCAAGACCTGGGAGCGGTCCGGCGAGCACTCAAGGCTCGTAGCCGCACCGCCGACCTCAAGGACCTCGCCCCTGGCACTTGGGTCTACGTCTTCCGGGACTCACCTTCGTACCATGGTTGGGTTGGCCCTGGAGTTCTTTTGATGGCTGACTTGAGTGACAGATCAGCATGGGTCTCTATGAGAGGTCGACTATGGCGAGCCGCCCGTGAACAACTTCGACCAGCAACACCAGAGGAGGAGCTGGGAGCTGAACTAGTGGTTGAACTCTCCAAGGAGATGTTGGAGAAGCTTAGCCGCAAAGAAGGACACAACCAGATTGCCTACCAAGATGTCACTTCTGAGACCTTCCCGCAGGACGAAGACTTGGAAGAAGCCCGCAGAGTTCTTCGAATTTCTGAGGCACCTCATGATGCTCTACCAGCCGAGTCCGGCTCTGCAGGAAGCACCTATCAACCTTCAAGTGTTGATGAAGATGAAGAGATGATCTCAGAAGAGGCTACCACAGCTCCACCTTTGTCACAGAACCCTAGCAGACGAGCCAGTGTTCACACGAACGATACTGAAGATGCTCCCATGGTTTTGCCTCCCATTAAAGAGAACGAGGTCAATGAGAATGACGAGACCATGGAAACCCCATCGGCTCCAGTTGAGCCGACTAGAACCACCGTTCGAGTGGATGAAGGTCCACATGGGACAATGCACTTTGGTCCTGCTCCAACTGCACCACGGATGCGATCCACTCCCTACCAGGAGGTGCCTGAGACACCGCCTGTTGGCTTTGTCCCGCCATCTCGCACTCCAAGAATGCCTTATCCGTATGACCAAGAACGACCTCCACTACCAGAACCTCCACTGAGCCGCTCTTTCTACATGGAGGTGATGGACTTTGACAAGGATGACATTTTGCTGCAGTTCCAAAGTCATTCACCCTTCATTGGAGCGACGTGGAGGTACGACCGAGAGCAACAACGGCCTGTACTTCAACCAATGGCCATGTCCAACAGCACCTTCAGTGCCAACGATGCCGAGGCCAGTTTCTGTCCTCGCGATCGCTGCATGTATGTGGGCATGGCGAAATCCTCTTTTGGACAAGTGGAGTTCCGCAACCTGCCGGAAGAGGAGAAAGTGAAGTTCAGGAAGTCTCGTTTGAAGGAGGTGGAAAGCTTGATCAAGAACAAGGCTGTGCGGGTGATGTCGGTGGAGGAAAGCATCGCGTTTGAGGAGCAGTTTCCAGAGCAAGTCATCAACTCTAGGTTCGTTGATCGCTTCAAACCAAAAGATGTGGCAGAGAACCAGATCGAGAACTACAAGAAGCGAGCGATCGATGAAGGCCACCTCGAGGCCATTGCTCTGGAGGAGGACCAACAAAATCCAAAGTCAAGGCTTTGCGTCATTGGCTGGGAAGATCCACAGATCATGGAGGTGG